TAGATCTACAAAAGGCATCTGATACAGTTGATCACACTATACTGCACATGAAGAAGTTCTTCTTCTTCTTCATGAAACTTCAAGCATCTGCCCTAGGTAATGACATTCTTACATGCTTCAAGTCTTATCTCTGATAGACAGCAGCTGGTGGATGTGGCTGGTAATCATTCTACTACTGCTCCGGGTACTTATGGTGTCCCCCTGAGGTTCATTTTAGGTCCTCTTTTATGTCTAATATATGTCAATGACATGTCTGCAACCCTAAGCAATAAGCTTTTATTATATGCTGATGACTCAGGTACCCTTGTATCTGGTAAAATAAATCTGAAGAAATTCTCTCTTATGACATGAGTCTTATAAGATTGGTTAATTGACTATCAATTGTCTTTGCATCTTGGCAAGACAGATCGAGTCTATTCTTTTTGGTTTAAGTTTCAACTTAAACTGGGCCTAGCCTCCATGTCACATGTAATGGTACTGCTATAAAGTACACATTTTTTGTTAAGTATATAGGTGCAAAACTTGATCAAATTTTTTTGGCGTCGCCTTTGATGCTTTGCATCAATGCTTTTCTTGTTTGCTTTTATGATATTCAGATTCTTATTGGAAACTTAAGCTTATGACTGCATCTTCCATTTTGTATATTCATAAATACTAATAAAAAGTACCAGTTGTTTCATATATAACTGCATCTTTTTGAATAAATATTTCCATTTTCACTTGCAGTACTTACTTCTTTTCGAAAGTCATGTTCATAATAATATTCTGATAAATATAAAATGCATTTCCACTAAACCAGTCAGGCTAGCGCACGGGTAGAGTGCTGGTCTGTCAAAAGGTAGACCTGTATTCAGTCCCTGTCCTTTCCATTAGTCTAATGCCATTATTTTGATAATTGTTCTTATTGTCGGGCATGCTGTCATCGGACAGCTCTGATTTGCTTATTTCCAAATTTATGCCCCTTTCTATACTTGATGAAACTCATGGTTAACTTTTTGCTTGTAAGCTGGTATCTCCTAACTACTAAAGGAAATGGAATGAAACTTAACATACATTTTCACTGTGATTTTTTAACATGATTGGCACAGGTCCCATAACTCTGATTTACTTATTTACATGAGTTATGCCCCTTTTTATACTCAATGAAACACCCTTGAGACAACTCTATCGAATAGTCGAGCATTGCTGTCCTCCGACAGCTCTTGTTAGATGTATGCCTTATCATGTAGTAACTAGGATTTATGGGCAATAAAAGCACAAACATACAATAACTGCAGTTTGGCAGTTTTCTATAAAGAAATAATGTTAACACACGGTTGTCCGTTGGAGGAATGATGTAGAGTGACTTAAAAAGAGGTATCTGTCTAAAAAGGTGGCAGTTGGAACAAAATGCTAATTTGAGATGTTTTCAATCTGACTCCTTTGGCAAGTGTTAATACAGATGAAAATTAAGGCATATCAAACTGTATTTGTGAAAAATACGATAATAGTGTCGACTTTGCTGAGCTCACCACAAGCTTAATAAAAATAATGGGAGATCATATATTTCGCTCTCGACTGTCTTCATTTTATCAAACATTTGTGACACATATTGTAATGTTGTTTTTGGAAATTAGTCAAACCAAATTAGAAGTTGACTAGGTTAAAGCTGCATGCCTCCAGATGAGCCAAAATATTTCAAGACATTCATCCTGGAGGAAAATATTCTAAGATAAAAATATTTACACTTCAAGAAATAAGTAACATGTTAAATGCAATTCAAGACTGATTTTGCAATATTTGTCACTATACATGTATGAAGTAAAGGAGAGCTGTCCTACTCATCACGGCGTCCACATCCAGATTTCAGATTAAAGTTTTAGTGCAGTAAAATCTTTCTTAAGGTATCAACTTTAAACTTGAAATATAAATACCGTATACATTTTCCTTATCATTAACCACATCTTATGTGACAAGGTTCATTACTCTAGAAGCAATATTTTCAGAATTATTTCCTCTTGAACTTAGAATTTTCCTTAAAAATACATTATTTTTTACTCTTCTTTATTTTTTTAGGGATCAACTTCAATCTTGGAATATATTTCCATCTTATGTGACAAGGTGTTTTAAATTTCAAGAATATTTCCGTATGAATTTTTTTCTAAAACAAGTTAATTTTTTACAATAACTTGGTGACTACTTCAAACATCTAATATATATTACATATCATTACCCACATGATGTGTGATAAGTTTCATAACTCTTGCACACATTTTTTTTCTGAGAATTATCCGCCTTGAACTTAGAATTTAGTCCTTTGAGCGGTGGACCTGGGTTTTTGTGTGTGACATCACCCCATCATGGTGAACATTGTACCAAATTATAACGTAATCATTCAAAGAAAGAGCAAGATATAAACTGGACAAATCCGGAAGGACATACGCACATACACCAAACTATACGCCAAAAGTGACGACTAAGTCAAGCTCACCACACGGGGGCTCGACAAAAATGCTTAAAAAAAGAGGCATAACTCAATTAATAATGCGTCGATTGTAGTGAGCATCAAACTTGGCCTGTGTTTTATACAACATACCAGCCAAATATAAAAGGTCTTTGGGTGTATGAAAATGGGTATATTTTGATGGCATTTGGTGCACCTGATTCCATTATTTATAGAAACACTCCTCATAATCTGTCTCGCAAGTTCCAAAATATGTATACAGATGAAAGGGCTGACAGATAATACCTTTACAGTATCTTCATTCTGATTTCATGTGGAGATAGCTGCCTGTCTGTACATGCTGAATGTGCAAGCTTTTTCTTATCAAGTGTCCAGTCTGACACACCAATGAAGTGAACAAACAATAATTATACATCAATACCATTTAGAAGAAGCAAAATGAAAATATATAACTAAAACAACATAGGAGATTTTTATTTTTTATTCTTGTAACAATCTCACTAACACTCTGACAGGTAACAGAGGCAATATCAAATGAGCCGCGTCACAACAAAACCAACATAGTGCGCTTGCGACCAGCATGGATCCAGACCAGCCTGCGCATCCTCGCAGTCTAATCAGGATCCATGCTGTTCCCTAACCAACTCTATTTGATAGCCAACAGCAGGGATCCTCATCAGACTGCGCGGAAGCGCAGGCTGGTCTGATTCCATGCTGGTCGCAAACCCATTATGTTGGTTTTGTTGTGACGAGGCTCAAATACATTACAGATGCACTATAAAATAAACAATAAAACAAGTTCTCCAAATGTAAATATCAGGCATATTTTTAAGCAGCTGTTAATGTACCTGACAGTATTTCTAATGTTTCTACAGTAATGTGTAGGTAGTAAACGGTCATTTGACCAGATTCATTTTACTTCTTTATTTGCCTTTTTAATATCAACATGTATGACATTTACAAAATATGTGCTAGGCACTCCAAATTCAAATTTTTGTTCTCATTTAGATTATGCCTATGTTTTGAATATTATGGTAATAAACTGATAAAATACAGGTAACATTGACACACAAAACCAGGTATCGGAAAATATTACCTTTGTGGAAAAACAAAAGACAATAGGTCTGTCAATGACAATGACCAAACCACAAAATGTCGAAAGAACATGTGATGACAATTTTTAAAATCCCTTGAAAAATTTCAGAGTTGCACATGGATGAAATTTTTCTCTGACAATCAACATTATTTTGCCAAACACACAGAAAGGATTTCTTTCTTTTTTTTTCCTTAGAAAATCTGGTTACAAGAAAGCAGTTAAAAGTATGGAAACAACTGAAATATTCACATTCTTTGTTGTTTTTAAAACATAATGTTAATGAATATGGGCAAATTGGAAATGAAAGATTTGATTTTAAAATAATGTACATGCATGTTTAAATGGTGAATGTTTTATCACAAAATCTCACATGGAGCACACTGTAAGCCATATAATGATATTTGCTGTTTTTACTCTTTAGTTGCATGCCATACATTTATGCCAATGAGTGATAATACATTATAAAATCAAATGAGCCACGTCACGACAAAACCAACGTAATCTGCGCAATCTGATCAGGATCCATGCTGTTCGCTTACAAACCCTATAACAAGTAGAGAAACTAACAGCGAACAGCATGGATCCTGATCAGTCTGCGTGGATGCGCAGGCTGGTCTGGATCCATACTGGTTGCAAACCCATTATGTTGGTTTTGTCATGGCGCGGCTCACTAATAAAGATAATACTCAACAAATTTGTATTTCAACCAAAATAACCACTAAAACCAGTATAAATTAGTTATAAATATTTATAAATTACATACAACAGAATCTTACAGTACGATCTGATTTATAATCTTATTTTCTCACATGCTTAGATCATTCAGGCAATGATTTAAATGTGAAATAATTTAAATACCTTGTACAATCACCTTTTATCTGTATAATTTATCATAAGAAATAATTTAAAGTAGATGAAAAATACACATCAAATGTTAGACAATTTTATAAAAGGAAGAACTTTAGCAGCAATGGTCTAATCAAACTGCACATTTCTGTACTATCCAGCATCAGCATTTCAAAAATACTTAATATTTTTATTTACAACATAAATCAACCACTGAAAAATAGTAATAAAATTTATAAATAAAACAAATGTACAGATTTAAAGAATATAAACATATCAAAGCTTAGATCCATTTAGCCTGCATGTTATGTGTTTTAATCTTGTCATACATACTTAATTTTTACGACATTTTCTGTAAATTATATTAAATTATTAAATAAATTAATTAAATATATGTAAAACATTTTTTATTTAAATGTTTCAAACTGTTAGTAACATAGTAATATTGTATCATGTAATAATTATCTTTATATATATTATTTTATACAATTTTAAAAAAACTTTATTATTTATTTAAAACGGCTTTAAAACCGTCCAATGGCAAATCGTCCAAAATAATACAGGTAGCTTAAGCTTTATGCAAGGAAAGGTTTTAATAAAAACATATAAAGTCTGATGTATATATATATCAGTATCAGTAGATTGCCAATACTTATACAGAATATAGATTACAGGCAAAATTGTGAATTTGGTGTCTATTAACCTTAAAAACAAGTAATCTGTCGTTAAGTTACAGAAAACAAGAACATGGTTTTGATTATTGAGTATACATGTCAAAAATTTCCCTAGCTCTAAAATAGAAATTTCTCGATATATAATCATTTGCTGATGATAACTCTCCAAATAGTTATACCCTAGTAACAACACCAACACCATGACTGACTATTACTGGTACAGGTCAAGTATATGGTACTTGACATGATCAAGTTTATCCCCCATTTTCCATGTACTGAAAGCATATATGTTTTCTCTACCATTCCTTGGTAGCAAATACCTTCGCTAACTTCAAACACACTTTGCTATTCACCTTTCTGATAAAATCTTAGTGCTCGTTTCTCTACCAATAATTAAATATGGCATAAAATCGCATATGGTAAGTTAACTGAAAATAACTAACACAATGATACAGAAATATGCCTGGGCTATTGGGAAGAATTCCACTGTTTTAACCAAGCAATAATCTTGTCTAGATTCTCCTCCAGCTCTTCTGGTGTATTACTTGGCAACTCGTGCACAATTTCTGCCTTGTAAGAATTTCTGGCCTCATCTAGAATTGTTTGGAAAATTTCACACTGAATGTTGTCCTCCAATTTTTTTCCGGAGTATCCCCTGAAAACATTAAAATAAAATAAACAGTGATAACAAGAAATAACTTCATAAAATCATAACTTCAGGAATGAGCTATTTATCAATCTTCAGAGGTATGTTATATTTTTAGTGTACAAACACTATGAATAAGTCTTGCTTGACTGACTGCAAGCTTGAAAGTATTCAGTCATAACAATAGGCAACTTATAATTTTTCACTGGTGTAAGGATGATTTAAGGCACTGACATGCACCACATTCCCTAGATGAATAGCTTCTTCACATAAAACAATTCAAGGTTCCCAGTGTACAAGTGATTCAAAGTAAGGGATCTCAAACATTTCATATTCGAGGCCCCTTAAAATTTAACAATGCACAACCTAGAGGTACCTAAATAATGTTTTAAAATAATTCATAATAATAATAAGAATTATCAGCATTAAATATGTGAAATGAATCATACAGATGTACGGCATGTAAATCTGCAATTTCCAAGAAAGAGTTGTTTTAATATGCCACTCATAAATCAAGTGCGAAACCACACAAATTAATATGTTGTTGCCACAATCTAACACTTATGAATATTCATTTTTCATAATTATAGGTATAACATTAGTATTCTATGCCTTCCCAAAATTAATTTCTACTTGAAGAACACTTATTTCCCTATTCTATAACATAATTGTGATGTTTTAAAGATTCAAAAGAATCTGAAAATGAAAATAACAAAATTAATGTCACCACATTATTGTATCAGTTACCTATGTTCGAGTCTGTTGTATAAGACAGTGTTATCTGTACGGAGAACAAACACGATATCAAACCATCGTTCAGGGAAGAAATCACAGCCATGATAGTCTATGATATTACCACCCTCTCTCATCTTATCATCCAGCTCATCTATCACCTAGAACATGATAAGTTTAATAATATTTAACCATAGTTTTAATTACAGATTTCACATAAATATTTTGAAAGCTTATTGTCTAACATTTTTACAAACATTCACACTACCTTGCTCGATTTACATAATATACATATCCTACACTAATTTTGCATATCAATTGTTAGTTCAAAAGACAACATAATTGCAAAAGCTGGCCTGACATTTTGATTGAAAGACTTTTTTTTTTATTAGTCAACCAAATTTACATTTGGCTGTATAATGTCCTGCCTTGGCAGTGCTTTTCTTCTTTTTCATATACTTTAAAATGCAAGTTTTTTTTTAAATGCTTTAGAAAACAATCATCATTTCGTTCAAAACTATGTCAACCTTGAAAATTAGCCACCAATCCCTTACCAAAAAATAAAATAAGCCACAGCTATTTATCAAATTTTTAGTGTATTCATACATGCTGGTAAGACAATGTGAGTGTGCACACTGTTCAGACAACATTGTTGTCAAAGCTGGTCTAGCCATACACTGATTCCATTCTAGGTATTCTTCTTTCACCTCTAGTGCAAAAAGTGAATTAATGAAACTGTTGCATAGACCATGAACAGGGCAATACTATTTAAGATATTTAGATACATGTAAGGGATAACAATGAATACCTGATCTTCATCTAGGATAGGACACTGGTACACATCATCATATCCATCATACAACTGTTCCTCTTTAGCAAGGTCTCCTACATTCACATACTTTAGTCCAGTTCTCTGAGCAAGCTCACATGCTATGGTAGACTTGCCAGTACCAGGTGTACCTAAAATTAGTTTGTAAAGGTGATAAATAAATTAACAGGGTTTTCATGTTTTTCTGAAGTAACAGATGTTCCAAAGAAAACAAACAATTTTTCCAAGGGTCAAGGGTGATACTTTAATATACAGGCTGAAGATACAACCAATTTTAACAGCATTTTAACCAAAGGTTTGGATCGCCTATCGGTTAATAAATTTATGAAAACCGATTATTAATGATTACTTATTTCAGTATTTTCAATATTAGGTAATATGTAGAGATGTAACATGAAATTTTTTTTAACACAATATACAATCTGGGCCACATTATGGTCATCTTGTTGCATTTTCCAAGAGGTCAGTACTTACTACATACTCTGCAGGTTATAATAAGGAACTGCATCCGGGCTTTACAATCAAAGCAACAAAATGATTTTACCTCAAATTCATAAACTTGAGACTCAAATACATAAACTTGAGAAAGAGAATCTTATATTTGTTTTACTTTTTAAGTACCTAAGGAAAAGCTTACATTATGTGTTTATTTCAGATAACTATGACAGTTTTCAACTGCTCAGAGAGAAGATTAACTTTGATCATGTCTTGGTCAAATCCAAAACAGACATACCAAGTCAATAATACAAAATAAATCATCATAGCAATTTCCAGTTCCAAACCATGCAATAATGCATGTGCAAATTCTTAGATCTTACATGTATATAAGGTTACAAGATATATAAAGTAATGTAAATTTATGCCGCAGAGTCAATATTTCTTTTCAATTTCTAATTTATCTTAGAATTAACTTTAACTGTACTCAGATTTATAAGAGATTCATTTAATCTGAGTAAGTTTGTAATTTATGTGCATATTAATTAGACTAGGTCACTACTATTACTGAATTGTCTGGCATGGATATTATTGTAATAAATGGCAATAACTAGAGATAATAACAATAATAAACTGGCAAACTTATATAAAAAGGATATATATGTGACAATACTGCACATTTGTAAAGTCGCTTTTCATTGGATTATTGTGACATTTATATAGTTTTATATACAAGACTCTCATTAAATTTTTAAAATATCATTTTTTTCCCTCTATGTTTGTTATAAAGATTCTTGACAGTTTATATGGCAGAAAATAAACAGTTGTTTGCAATATACCCTAGCCTAGCGGCTTTGGTTATACATACAAACAACCATTTATATAGGGCCATATAACCGGTCAAAAATCTTTGTAAATTATAATGTATAACAAACACATTATTATATGTTTGATGTAACTTAATTACCAGGCTTTAATTATCATCTGCATCATTCCTATCAATCAGGGTCTAACCCTGTATCGATTCACATCTGATAATTTAATCCACTTAGTAAGTTAATTAGTCTTTACACAGCGCTAACTTTAACAATGTAACTTACCAAGTGTGGCTAATTACGTCAGATTAACAAATAACCCTGACTTCTGACCGTTTTACTGAGTTATAAAATATAGTATTACATGTTCAACATTTACTAGATTTTCACTTTTCAAATCAGATAGGGCAAAGTGGAATTTATTTTTGGCTTAACTTTTACTAGTTTTAGCACAACTTTACCTTAAACGCAGTCCCTGATGTTTAATAAACTGTCATGTTCGTGTTACACATTGTTTATACTTACAAATACAGCATACCAAAAGAAAATACCATCTCTTGGTTTTATATCACAATTAAACCCAGTGTTCTGTATATAGCCAACGGGTGCTGGATACAGTGGATAGTAATTTTGCTATTGATAGATCCCTACTTTGACCTTTTATTTGAATAACTATAGATTTAATCACAAACAGGGACACGTGCTCTTTTGTTAACTAATATGTTGTGGTAAAATTCTTATTGTATCCACTAATCTGACAGAATTACACAGGTCAGGGATATATATCCATTATTCTGTCATTGTCACGACGGACAAGCCAATGCATGTGGACAAAACTAACATTAGCACAATTTTTTGCCATACATTTATGTAAAATCACATCAATTTTTTATAAGAGACTGAATATGTGGCTGATAAAAGAAAGCTTACCTTCTCAGATTTTTAGTCGATCGCGAAAACTAATGACAATAATAACAACGATTTACTGTAAGAATTATTGCGACATTTATGAAACTGTTATATTATATCAACTTCTTTAACATAATTAAACAAATTTACCAGTTATCAATATGTTAGGACCTCCTGGTCGCATGTTTTCCATTTTGTTTTGTTTGTTTACGCACGTGTGTATAAAATCTCGTTCGGACCAGTTCGTTAGCAATCGTAACTTTACGGGCATTTCCGTCTAATTCCGGCGGGCGTCAAACTTGTTCAGTAGGTATATCACTAGATTAGACTAGTAGATTGATTAATTATAAATATAGATCTATATAAAAAATAAAAACAGAATCTTTTTCATAGTTTACTAGAATCTAATAATTCTGAACATTTCATTTCATAAAAATCATCTTTCATTGGATCTTTCAAATAGAATTTGAAAGACCCTGATCTACTATATACTTTATTGTGCATCTTTGATAAATGTAATTGTACCCTAACATATCTTTTACCAGCGCAGAATATTCTATATCGTAGACACCAGATACTAATAAGTTATGCGTTCTAGATAATTATGTGGTGCGCACGAGAAACTATGTCGTGACAACAAGTTACTATGTCGAGGTAATTTAGTGGTTCGCATGAGATACTATATCGTGCTCATGAGTTACGATGTCGTGTCTACGAGTTACTAAGTCGTGCGAATAAGATAATATGTCGTGGCCACAAGTTACTAATTCGTGCGCACGAGATAATTAAGTCATGGACACGAATTACTATGTGGTGCGAGCGAAATATTAAGTCGTGCGCACGAGATCAGATTACACTATCATGGAGCTTAATATAGTATATGTATGTCTGTGGAAATAGTCAACAATTTCAATTATTTAGGCACTGTATTTAACTATACTTGTAGTTTTACTTTGAATCAAGAGTATTTAGTAAGGAAAGTCTTAAAGGCATTATTTATATAATTTAAATGTGTTATTGTTCATTTTAAAACAGACACCTATTTAAAATAGTACTTTATTGCAATTATTTCATGTTTTTGTCGTATCTGTTTTAAATTATGCCGAATTTAGTAAGAGTAAATTATCGAACGAGTACATCTTAAATTTTGTAAGTCCAATCCATGTTATGCGTTAAGCAGTCAACTAGCAACATGGCTATTTATGGTGAGCTGTAAAGGTAAGCTTTAAATACGGGTCAAATATTGTTAATACATATAAATGTCATAGTCATTTGCTTATTTACTGTAAATCCATGTTGAAGGATATTAATAGAGGCAAAAGTAACTGGTTGTCTAATGTAAAATCATTATTAGATAATGCAGGGTTAACATATATATGGAATAATCCTAGTATTGATTACGTATGTAAAGGGTCTTATTTTTCAGATTTGGTGTAAGGGACAAAACTCTTGCTTTACTGTTGAATTTCATAATTTTCGAAAGGGAGACAAATCTGTCGGTCTTGTCTAATACTTTTCAAGAGAGATTACTCTTTTGGTTTGATCGGATGTGTGGTCAGTATTCTAAGAAATCAAATGATTGATTGATTCACAAATGGTTGATTTTAAGCTATTTTTATGTCCTGTGATTTCTTGGTGGGAAAAGCCTTTGTGTCTTTATTGTTGTGAAGAAGAGATGCCCTCTGTGGTCAAGTTCTTTATTTCTTAAGTTGTTATCCACCCCTATTACATGTCCATAGGAACTTTCCGGTTTTTCGTAGGGGAACATTTAGCCACACCTTTTCCATTCATTGCTAGGTCAACTGCTCACAAACAGTATCACAAACATAAGCACGTGTTCTTTTGTTTAAACCAGGTCAACCAGTGACTATGTATTATCTCAGTGTAGCGATTGGATAACAAGTTAGACAATTTACATAAAACTGTAAACACCGGAAAGGTCCAAAGCAAAATCTTATTGACCAATTCATCCTGTCATGATGGTATCACAATGTAGCAACTAGTCCGAGCCTAGTTAAGACGTCATTTGATTGATAAAATGCCAATGAAATTTAGAATTGATTTTTCGAGTCCGCTTCCTGGAACCAACCAGTACTGGTGTCATGTGAAGAGACATGGTCGTGACCCGAGTTGGGCTCGAACCCATGATCTCTGGGTTGAGAGGCAGACACCTTAACCACTAGGCCACCGCTCCTAATATATTGTGTATTTAATTTTATAATAAGTATTTTATTAAGAAAATACATTTATTTTCTCAAAGAAATTGCTGTTTATTTATGAGTTATAATTGATAAAATATTAATCAAGTGCATTGATACAAAGAAGTAAATAAAACAAGACTAGTGTTCAGCACAAGAATATATTTATTCTGTGTAAAGCCTTAACATGTGATCATAGATATTTACTAGAAATACAGAGCATGCGCTCATCATGATATCATGATAAAACTACAGAACATTAAAACGCATTGTCATTTTTAATCTAAAAACGCTTTGTGTATTTTTTGTGTGTTTTTCTACAAATATACTGTCTTCTGTCGTCTGCAACTGGTAACTTTGTTCATACTAAATAAAAAACAAAACAAAAAAGCAACCAAACTTCCAGATATCAAGATACTTTCTTAATGATTTGGCCTCCTACATGTATGTTAGGTTTTATATACCATCACTGTCCGTGAGCATCTTTCCTTGTAAACATGAGAATGAATGCAGATTCGCATTTTTCTTTTTAATTTGATGATAGATTATGATTAAGCTTTTGCTTAGAGGGGTGGAGGTAGAATGCATTAGCTGTTACCATTAATGAACAGTCCAAGTTATTCAGATTTACACTGCTGTCCGGCCTTCAGGTTTTGCTCTTTTGACTATTTTTGGAATAGAATTTTATAGACAATTTTTACCAGTTACCGTATATTTCAATTAAGATTATTTATATTTTGCCACAACGTCGTCATAAAAGATTATCGTCATTAAAAAAAGTGAAAACTTATTTTTTCACAGAATTCTAATTCAAGACACATTTTGCAAACCTTCTTAAATTTGAGACATACATTTGCGTAATTAGGTAACTATTCTAGTGTGGCATGTTGTACAACTGATTCTACCAATACAACCATTTACAGGTAAAGAAATATCAAATAAACATGACGCATTAGTGCAACAGTAAATTGGTCTCAAAATACCAACATGACATACATCACTTTACACCATTGTCAGTCAGTGTTTATAAAGTCCACACACTTTTGCCAGAATGCTGCACGTAATCCCTTATCTTTTGGCAAATCCACATTAGGACAATCTCTTAAAAGATCCATTAATTCAATAGGCAAAACCTTTGTTGGTATTTCCTCCATGAAGATTATCACAATAACTGCTCTATTCATATGTATAGCTTCCATTCGTGCAATGTTCATTTCGAAGTTACACCATTTATTACGGAGAAAATGCCTGCTTAGCATCAAAAAAGTTTTCTTGCTTGTACGGATGGCTTTTGATATGTTAACAGCAATTACTTCACCTATCTCGAAATCTCTGTCACGTATGTTTAGCCGTTTCCCTCCCTCTACTTCCAAGTTCTGTAACATGTCAACAGTGACGAAAGCTCTGTCGCCGTCACCATAGGAAATAAAACAATCAAAAGCAAATGATTTATCATTTTCATTCTCTACCTTTGCTTTGTCTAACTTTATTCTTGCCATATAAAACAAATATCTTAGTTTCCATCTATTACGGTATACACCATATGAAACAAGAATTGCTATAATAAAACTACCAACTGTTGAACTTGCAACGATAATTTCGTGATAAGACTTGCAACCCTCTTCCAATTTGCTTAATGATAAGTTTGATCCATTATACATATTTACCGAGTTGCCATCCAGAGAACAATAGTAGTTCTTTGTGTTAACAAATTTGATATCCGAATGAAAAAGCCATTTAAGGAATGGAATAGTGTCACAAGTGCAAAGTAAATGGTTGTTGCTTAAATCCATTTCGACACGAGAAAACCTGCTTAAATCAGAGCGAACAGATGATTCTATAGAATGCAGTCGATTGTATGAAATATCGATGTATTTAAGTTGTACGAATGTTGATAAGTCAATGCTTAGAGCTTCGATGTAGTTGTAAGACAAGTCTAGCCTTTCAATTTTACTTGTATATTTAAATACATTTTTGTCAAGTGAATTTATTCTGTTTCTTGATAAATTGATAACTCTTAGACTGACTAAAGAGGACAGTAATTTACCATTTTTGTCTGACTTGAATATATATCCAAGCAGATTATTTTCCAGATCTAATAATTGAAGTGATGGTAGCCCATGAAATGTATCTGTATGGATATTTTCCATATAGTTATGTGACAAATTCAAATGTTCCAGGTGATATAATCCGTCAAACGCCAAAGCTTCTACCATCGGCATGAAATGTCTTGATAAATCCATATATGTAATGTTATTTATAGTTGCGCTAAAATTCAGTGGTCTTAGATCGGACAGACTTGCGCTATATATCAATGTTTTCAAGTTTAACACCGGCAGTGAATCAGACGACCTTGCCTTTCTCATGTGTTTTAGCAGATGGTCATTTTCAAATCTGGTCATTTCGGAATACGGCTGAAGATTATTATGGTATAAGTTGCTGGTGGCATTGAATTTTGGGACGTGACTAGGTGCATGTCTTTTAAACAGTCCAAAGACTTTTTGAAATGCATCCGTAAAAACACGATCTGACCTCGCAGCAACTGCCTGGTCCCCAGCATCCAGAACTACAAGATTAGGATTGTTAAAAACTGCTTCATACAGGTAGTAACCAAAGGCGAGTTTATTACGTCTTAAATAAAGTTTTTTTAGTGATTTTGGAAACATGTCAAACACTCCATAATCTACAAATTCTATACCATTATCATCCATGTAGATTTCTATCAATTTAATGTCTCTAATATATTTTATATCTGACCTCAATAACTCAGTACCCGCTCTATCTGGATTATGTATGGCATTAATTTTTAAGATTTGCAAATTTGTATATTTCAGCTCTTCCAGTATGGTTCCAAACTGGTTTATTTCTAATTCCGTGTTCCATGACAAATCTAAGTATTGGAGCTTTAATGTCCACCAGAAAATCCCTTGTCCTAGCTTTGTAATCCGGCATTTACTCATGGTAAGATTCCTTAAGTTTTGCAAACCAACAAATGAATTTCTGTCTAGTTGATTAATCGAACACGTTCCATCAAAACCAGACATAACAACAGTGGAAAGGTTTTTAAGTACATGGAAACTTTCATTAAATCTTACATTATTTACTCCATCAATACGCAATTCTTCCAGTGCCACCAACACTTTCAAAGCGTAAAAAGGTATAACAGAATAAGATAACTCACTTGTTTGTAATAAGTTATGAATATGTAACACTTTAAGACTGCTCAATCCATCAAATACACCAACTTTAAAAATATTTTGAAGGACAATTATTCGTCGAGTATTAATCTGTCCATTCAGGTACAAATGTTTTAGATTTGACATATCTCTGAACGCTCCAACTTCTATCTCTGAAACGATATTTCCAGAGATATCTAATATTTCTAGATTGTAAAGACCAGCAAAATTGGAGTATTTAATGGTTTTTATGAGATTATCCTTAAGATATAGTTCTTTTGTCTCGTTGTCAATAGTTTTAGGCGGCCTGAAAAGACCTAGTCCTGAACAGTTAGTAATAATACCATTTGTATCGTTCTTACAACCGCAAAAAGAACAATAGAAAGGTAGTGTATAGACTTGTGATGCTTCATCACCCATCACGTGCCTACACATTAAGGTGCCGAATAAAAGTACAGCCAACACTTTCACACAAGACGGCGCTCTCCATTCTGAAATTAAAAAGTATAAGTAAAAGTGAGTGAGTGAGTGAGTGAGTGAGTGAGTGAGTGAGTGAGTGAGTGAGTGAGTGAGTGAGTGAGTGAGTGAGTGAGTGAGTGAGTGAGAAATAGTAATGCAAATGAATCATTTATTATACAAGCAAATGTTAAATAACAATTTGTAATTATTTTATGTTAAGTTAAGTATATACATGTATCTATACAGTACAGTCGTTAGATGTGAAGGTAAATTATTTCAGGCATATACTGGTATTGAGGTTCATGAATAAGAAATAATTTATTATAAGCATCATGGTTATATCATTCCGTCTGTCATATTGCAATCTTGGACTCGTTAGTTCATAGCTCTGTACTGCAGTAATGAGGATTTTTGTTGATTAAATAATGTAAAATACCATTAATAAAAGTAATCCGCCCATAAATTAAGAGACATATGTTTAAAACTTGAAAACTTTAATTGTTTTCTGAAACATTGAATGGTGATTAGATTAATGAGTGGTGTTGCATAATGACATTTAAAATAAAATCATCCCCGAGACAAGGACTTAATTTTGTTTTCTTCTTTATTAATCATACTCAAGTGGCGTGTTCTCTTCCGATTATTCTTATACATAAGTAGATATTTCCTTAAACAATAAAAAATACAAACCAATTCAAATAACTATACATTTATATCATTAATTACGACTAATTCATATATGATATATAGCAACTTTTTTTATCTTTCACACTAACGTTTCACACACAGTTCACTAAATTGTAAAGATACATTAATCTTTTGCACTATTTTTTTTTCTAGATTATTACCACGAAGTCTGAAGTAAGTAAAAATTGTTAGTCAATATCAAAACACATCAGTCAATATCAAAATACATCAGTCAATATCAAAACAAACAAAAACATTGACTTCAGATACAAACTGTAAGTTTAATAATGAAACTGATCACTTAACAATGAATTATCATGTACAACTTACCTTTTAATATAGCCATTCTTATCAAAACGTTTAAACTTATTTATTTACACCACAGTCTGACACAAGCATTGTTTTTTTTCTTTTCAAAATGCAAGTTATTAACGTGTTTATTATATGATAAGGGAATATCAAATAAAGTTGGTGAAATGCACCACATTTAAGCCTACGTCTACTTACTTTCATAAATGGACATGTCCAGCTTCTTGTTTTGAAGCTGTCCATTATCATTTTGGGCAAATCAAGATGAAATTTGATGTTGATGAGCCAAAAGACTGCATGGAGATGCAACTTAACCAAGCTATATACTAGTAGGAAAGGCTGGTTCTTTTCGAGGTAAATTACTAAATTAAAGTATTTAATCTATATTAAAGACATTATATTGACTACGCATTCAGATTGCTAGTACGACCATTCCTTGACTTAAAATAACTGATGTGTCCGAGAATTTATGTAAATCACTATTATGACATTTGCATTAGAAATAATAGTAAAACAATAATCTGGTATGATTTTATTTCGAATTCCCTCAACTTTTGGACAAGTCCTTGATAAATATAGAATCTGCTGGGATTGAAAAAAGTAATCATGCAAGACGTTATAAATATTATAAATGTTGGAAAGTTTATACGGATCAAATACACTGTATAGTTAGTATATGATCATCTGTTTGTAAGAAAAACATTCTATTCTATTTACCAGCGGAATTCTTTTTAATCAATTGGAAATCGTTTGGGGCCCCGACATTAGTACATGTTTCTTTAAGAATATTCCGTCGTCCAGAAAGACGACGTTGTGAATATGGTGTGAATAAGGTATATTTAAAAAATCAAGCCCAGCTCAAGTATGACGAATGGTTGAATACCACACAAACGGTGTTGTTTCTTTTTTTCTTTTTTTATCATATTTTGCATAATCGCATTTGAAATGTTTATGAGAATCGAGAAGACAAATTAGTTTTATAAAGGACACGAATATTAAACTAACTATAATACCATGGCCTTATTTCAAAATATAAACACTCAATCATATTTCATACATAATACTCAAGTAGCATAGCTTGTAAACAACGCTGCACATGTGTTAATTAAATATTAATGAGATACATTTCCGAAACCAAGTGAATAATCCCTTGGCTATTTTGCAATACCACTATGATATTACATCATTATTAAAAAAAAACTAAATTTAAAAAAAAATAGTGGATAATACGGTGTTCCGTTTGGACACGTTTGGACAATCGTGACATTTTATTTATTCTGTACCCGCGATGCACGATGGTACGATGGTGAAAACGCGATGGCACGTTGGTACGATGGTGAAAACACGATGGTACGATGGTGAAATCACGATGGTACGATGGTGAAATCGCGATGGCGCGATAGTACGATGGTGAAAACGCGATGTTACATCGCGTTTTCACCATCGTACCATCGTGATTTCACCATCGTACCATCGCGTTTTCACCATCGTACCATCGCACCATCGCGATATCGTGTTTTCACCATCGTGCCATCGCGCTTTCACCATCGTGCCATCGCGATTTCACCATCGTACCATCGCGATTTCACCATCGTACCATCGCGTTTTCACCATCGTACCATCGCATTTTCACCATCGTGCCATCGCCTTCCGGTGGACATGCGCATTGTACATCTTTATCAACAATGGATGAATGCATAACTATGTATTATGTGAGAGGCTATACGTATCGAGACATTTTAAATATAGTGAGGCTTAAAACGGGATTTGATCTCAGCACAGACTATTTAATAAGTGTTGTGTATTAAGATTCAATCATTATAAAACCTTTATGCACTGTGCTTAATTCATCTTGTCTAGATATCTAAAACACAAATTTTTTAAGGTTTTATATCATAAATATGATGCTCAAATTAAGATAAGTTCTAAAAAGCATTATTTGTAAAGATGTTACCGAATCTAACATTTCATGCAAATAAAGGGAGGTAATAAAAATTTATTTTCTGTAAAGTCTAAGAAGAAATGAATGCATATATTTTAATGATTACATATAATATGTATAAATATTTGCAGTACATATTTTACATATTCTCGATGTTTGAAACTTGTTTTATATTAAAGCATTATTATATAATTATATATAATTTCACTGTAGTGTGGTGTTAGCTCAACAGGTACAGCGTTGGACTGTGAATCGGGCGATCGGTTTGGATTCCCCCGACGGGTGCAGGTCACTTTCGTTGTGATTGATCATGAAATCCTTTCTACGGTCATTGACACTGGTCTCTGCTCTGCAGAAGTTTCAGTTCCTTGCGAAAGTGAAGGCAACTAGTACTGGTAAACTGCTTGACAGCCTGCCCAGGAAAATGCGGTGGTTGAACTGTGCTCTTGTGAATTCAATGTGGCTTACTGTCATGATCGGAAGTGAAAACTATCACCACAACCACCACGGTGTACAACCTCAATTACAACATACAAAATCTTTAGAACGGTACAAAATTGTCTTTTGGTATAGCTGTCATGTGTTTTTTTTTTTTCAATTATTCTTGCTTGGATATGGAAGAATGAAAAATCACAATACGTTCAGGTATTAGAAAGTAAATTATAAAACAAAATGAAAATAAAAGGAAAATTAAAGAAAATACTGAGCCAGAAAAAGATGCATCAAGAGCTCATACATATAGATAAGATAATTCTATTTCCCGAGACTATTAGAATGTGTATGCCTTAAAGCGAGAAATGTTTGCCCTTGACCTGGTCCGATTGGAAATTTAAAGCCAAAGAATATTATATTACTATGGAAGATTAATTATTACTGCAAAAATTGTAAATTCGGCGCTATAATCCGAGCATAGGTTCTAGTGCCAGACCTGGGGATTGATCAGTAATTTACTTAATTACAGTTACTTTCAGATTTTATTGTTATAGATTATGATTGAATTCTCAGATTTGCCTCTGTAATCAATTAAATAACATAACAGAACAGAACAGAAGAAAACGTTATTTTACTTTGATTTGTACATAAATGTAGTACATTATCAGAAAAGTACAGACCATTAACTCAAGTTACATATAATATAACACATGAGTATACATAACAGTGGTGAATATTTGTTAATTTTAACACATGACATGATATTATTTTTAAGGTATTTGTAAGAGGAAAATAAATAATTATCATGAGAAATGAAAAAAGAAAAGCTATACCAAAAGACAATTTTGTACCGTTCTAAAGATTTGGATGTTGTAATTGAGGTTGTACACCGTGGTGGTTGTGGTGATAGTTTTCACTTCCGATCATGACAGTAAGCCACATTGAATTCACAAGAGCACAGTTCAACCACCGCATTTTCCTGGGCAGGCTGTCAAGCAGTTTACCAGTACTAGTTGCCTTCACTTTCGCAAGGAACTGAAACTTCTGCAGAGCAGAGACCAGTGTCAATGACCGTAGAAAGGATTTCATGATCAATCACAACGAAAGTGACCTGCACCCGTCGGGGGAATCCAACCCGATCGCCCGATTCACAGTCCAACGCTGTACCTGTTGAGCTAACACCACACTTCAGTGAAATTATATATATTTATATAATAATGCTTTAATATAAAACAAGTTTCAAACATCGAGAATATGTAAAATATGTACTGCAAATATTTATACACATTATATGTAATCATTAAAATATATGCATTCATTTCTTATTGAAAAATTTGACTTAGACTTTACAGAAAATAAAATTTTATTACCTCCCTTTATTTACATGAAATGTTAAATTCGGTAACATCTTTACAAATAATGCTTTTTGGAACTTGTCTTAATTTGAGCATCATATTTATGATATAAAACCCCAAAAAATTTGTGTTTTAGATATCTAGACAAGATGAATTAAGCACAGTGCATAAAGGTTTTATAATAATTGAATCTTAATACACAACACTTATTAAATAGTCTGTGCTGAGATCAAATCCCGTTTTAAGCCTCACTATATTTAAAATGTCTCGATACGTATAGCACATAATCACATAATACATAGTTATGCATTCATCCATTGTTGATAAAGATGAACAATGCGCATGTCCACTGGAAGGCGATGGCACGATGGTGAAAACGCGATGGTACGATGGTGAAAACGCGATGGTACGATGGTGAAATCGCGATGGTACGATGGTGAAATCGCGATGGTACGATGGTGAAAGCGCGATGGCACGATGGTGAAAACACGATAGCGCGATGGTGCGATGGTACGATGGTGAAAACGCGATGGTACGATGGTGAAATCACGTTGGTACGATGGTGAAAACGCGATGTTACTTCGCGTTTTCACCATCGTACTATCGCGCCATTGCGATTTCACCATCGTACCATCGTGATTTCACCATCGTACCATCGTGTTTTCACCATCGTACCATCGTACCATCGCGTTTTCACCATCGTACCATCGTGCATCGCGGGTACAGAATAAATAAAATGTCACGATTGTCCAAACGTGTCTAAACGGAACACCGTAGGATAAACCTATTCATGCATTTTAAATGCACTTTTGTTGTTTTGGTGGTCATTTGTTATCCCGCCCCTTACAACGGGGAATATTCTTTTGGTTAGCTAGATTTTAGCGCGAAAACTGTACAATAGCAGTCCAAGCAAGAATTTATGCAAAAAAGAAGCCTACATTTCCTTCTTTTCGATGCAGTTGTCTTCCGAAAACTTTAACGTTGGTCATATTCATTTTTATTTCTTAACGGATTGCCTTCTGACTTGCACACAACAATTTTAACCCTTTGTATAAAACATTCCAAGTTGACCAGACTGAACTTGAACTTCACTGATTTTGCTTGATTTTTGATGAACGTCAATTTGGTAGGTAATTGGTATTTGGATCAGATTTTCGAATAACAAACTACCTGCTAGCTGGAAATTAAATTTAACTTGTCATAACTGTATTATTTATTTACGGATTTGATTTAAACTTGGACAAAAGAATGACAAAACCGACATGTTGAATTAGTCTGATGTGACTTTCACCTTAAATTGACCCTGAACGTAAATCTCAAATTATTAATGTTTGCTAAATTTGTCAAAACTGTTATTTATTTCCGTATTTGATTTAGACTTAGACAAAAGAACACATATGACAAAACCGACATGTTCAATTCTTCTGATATGACATTGGCTTTTCTGTTGACCTTGAACGTCAAGGTCAAATTATTGAAATTTTCCTAAGCTGACCATTTACGGACTTGGGTCATTATGATAAATTCAAGTCTGACCTTGACCTTTGAATGACCTTGAATGTCAAGGTCAAATATTAAATTCAAATTAAAATTTGTTCTGGACTGTTATATTTTCTAGGAGTAGTTCTTAATTGCAATATTCTTTCTTCAATGTTATTACTTTTATTTCATTCTTTTTTGTGTGTTCATTTGGTCTTTCTTTCAGTTTTGATGTGTAAAATGGCATCCGAGCACATACTAATAAAATAAGTGTTCAATTCAAATTTGAAAATTTTCATAACAACGTTTTGTTAAGTGTTGTGCAGACGTGAAGGGTCGCGTGGTAATTTGCTAATGTGTTCTTATACAAGTATCTCATATTTTTCTGTTGTTGTTTTTGTTCTTGATACAAAAGATCAGACACTGACTGACCACTGAAATTGGTTTAAGAATGTTAAAATGAACCATATCTTTCTCGCAGTTGTAGATTGTAATGACACCACCAGGAACATTAATTTTAAGAAAATTTCTTGCTGGTCTTATTTGGTATACCTGAGGTAATATACAGATGGGCATCTCCACCAGTAAAGCTGAAATGTCGCTTTAGTTAAAATAACAATATTGTTGTATTCATGCAAATATCCAAAATACTGTAAGTCAGTTATTCAGAGAGTTATTCAGAGTGGCATTATGCCCATCCAAGGGTATATAGTGAGTGAACGGGGAAAGTCAAAATAAGTTTTCATTTTGCCATAATTCCTTTTAATTTAATAATTAAGTTCGCATAAACAATAAATAACTCACAAATCCAAACGAAATTTCTGTAAATATCCATTAGGATTTACCTATAACGCTTAGTTTATACAAAAAGTGGGGCAGTCTTTTTAAATTTTAGACAGATTTATAAGTTTATTTTAAACATTTACCAATAGCAACTGTTGGTCAAACACCATTTTAACAGTCAAGCTTTTGAAATACGAAGTCAATTCAGGTCAACTTGACTATGAAAATATGAGCATAATGTCACTTAAACAAAAAAACATATATAAATGTAAAGCATTTCTTTATTATTATCAAACTTGTACACCTTTATGAAATAAAATGTCCTAGCTATATGATACAGGTGATACTAATGCTGCCATCTCTGAAAGATATAGATGAATCATTTTATTGCTAAAAGATATCAATATATCTGAAACTACTATAGATTGATATGTTTTTTTATAATTAATCTATCTCGACATGAACTCTTCGCTAGGCATTCTGTTATTCTTGCAGGACAATTGCGTGAAATTGACATCTACAAATATTGTTGTATCATATAGGGCATATAATGTGAAACATTCACTGGGCATCCAATACCAACAAGGTGATTTTTCAGTTGACATTGTTCCCCACGATCCTATAGATTATGTATGACCATTATTGAAGTAAATGAATCATTCGTCTAGAAATCTCATATGTTTTAAATATTTAAATAACTGGAATAACAAGAGAATCGACATAGAATAGGTTGTGGAATGTTTTCACCTTAATTGGCTATATAGCTTGAATCTTAAATGTTTAAAACATAAAATTAACTGGAATAATAAAAGAATCGACATAGAATGGGTTGTGGAATCTCTTCACCTGAATTGACAGGCACAGACAGATTGCCTAAAAGCAGGAGACATAGTGAAAATTTCAAAAAGAAGTGTGTAACAAGTTGTGAAACTGATCATACAACAATTGAAGACATAAGTGAAACCATTGTTGTACATATTGATACCAATAATGCAAGTTCTTCAATAAAACCAAACTTGATTTGTAATGACAGTAGCGATTTCAGAGAAATATGTTTTAAGGATGAAATGATTACAGAACAACATGTTGGTTTGAATGATTTTAATGATAGTGAGTGTGACATAACGAAAGGGAAACCTGTCAGTAGTGGGCTAAATAAATATACTTTCTCAACTGAAAAACATCAAAGCATTAAACCGTTGTCGTATTCCGTGCAATATTGTGAATTCGAGTATAAAACCGGCGTGGACATTTAAAGGTGCAAAGATTCATACATATGAATAAATATATACTATGAATGACGTTATTATATAACTGATCTAATTTTTACGTGTGCTTAATATAAATATTAAGTTAACTTAAATCTTTAAGATGTGACATTGGAACACACGATTGTCCCAGCAGCAAAAAAAGCAACTATGATAATGTAAGCGATTGTATTAAAAAAAGAACTGGTATGTTCATAAGGAGAAAGTAAACTTTTTATTAGCATAAATGACTGGTCTTAAGTTAGAACTGCCATTAGGTGTCATGCGATGTTGTTATTTAGATTGAATTATTATCAAAGTTGTTATTGTTTTGTTTTCTTTGATGATGCTGTTGTTTATTACTATTATTTTTTTTATTTTAATTTAGTGTATAACCTGTCAAATTACTTTATCATGAATTGAAGCATGTCAATCATTGGGTATGACACTTATCATAATGCATGATCTATGAATCAGGTAACATGCTAGATTATCGAATCTACTGTCTCAGTAGTTTCAGCAGGTTAGATTTCACTCATTTTCCATTGAGATTTATTAAAAAGACGCTATTTTAATAACAAGTGTTAGACATTAACTTATTGACATCGATCATCGTTTTCGTCATCGACACTAGCAAATAAATTTCTCATCGGCGCCATCCTCACACTGTGGAATACCGTCGCATATTTTAGCACATTTCCTTCTATCTGGACACAAGACCTCGCCGTACTTACATATATCTGTGCTTGACAAATCTGAAGAAGAAAAAAATCAATGTTTAATACTTCAATGAAAATGGAACAATTGATGAAAACGCTATAAATGATGAGTAATTGTGAAGCGCATATATACTAGTATTAGTTTAGAAAAGAAATACTTTAGTTTTGAAAAAGAATGCTTTAGTTTTGAAAAGGAATGATTAAGTTTTGAAAAAAACACTTTATGTTGTCATGTTGTCAAATAGAAATGATCAGAAATAAATGTATTGATGGAACTTGTTGTGTTTAGTGTAAATAAGTGTAAATAACTACATGTATATAGGCCCTATTGATCAATTCAAAACTGATCTTTAAGTAAGTATTTTACATGAAGGGAAACTGCCAAGTCCACAATGTATTTCAAAATCATATAGTATAATATATGTACAAAATTGTTTAGATAAAAGCACTTATCTAGAAACATGTTATCTAGCCTACTTTCTTTGCAATTTCTTTCATCTTCTTTGTTTTTGCAGTCGTCCTTCCCGTCACACACAACGGCACAATTACCATCTGGACATCGTAAATGACCCTCCTTACATACAGGACCTGTAATGATGAATTCACAATGATTTCTTCTGTTTGTAATGTTGACGCACGAGGAAACCATCAATTATATTCCGTGATGGGTATTGCATTAGAACATTCGTGAGGGGTATAACAATAATTATAATAATTAGATTGGTCCGTGATGGATATTCGAAAATCGAAATGTCGATATACAATCTAATTTATAAGTTACAACGGATATCATAACGTTTTAAAATTTGAAGGAACAGAACAATCCTAATAATGAATTACATGTCATAACAAGAAGTTGATTATTAAAATACCACAAAAAAGTTCGTCTTCCAGTTGATCACATTCCGGTATACCATTGCACACTGTCGCACATGTTCCTTCCCGGCACCGTACTTGTAACTCCTTACACACAGGCAACTCTGTAATATCAATCCAAATGACCTACCAACATTCATCAACTACTACAGAACAGAACAAAATTGTTCTGTTCTGTTCTGTTCAACTATACTACAACTAGATCTTATTGTCCCCTGCCTTTTCGAAGAAAAAAAGGGGGGGGGGGTATAGAAATAGGCTCCGTCCGTCCGTCTGTCCATCCGTCCGTCACACCGGTCCATAACTTTGTCATTTATCAAAGGAATTTGAAATAACTTGGCACAAATGTTTGTTATAATAAGACGATGTGTCATGCGCAACAACCAGACCCCTACCATAAGGGTCAAGGTCGTACTTGCTCATTCAAGGTCAACATTGTCTATTTGAGGGTATATTTTGTGTCCGGTCCATAACTTTCTTAATAATAAAGGGATTTTGTAAATACTTGCCACAATTGTTAACAATGAGACGATGTGTCATGTGCAAAACCGGTCACTTACCTCCAATGTCAAGGTCACACTTGGAGGTCAAAGATTAACATCTGTTATAGGGTATATTTTGTGTCCAGTCCATAACTTTTTCATAGATCAAATGATTTTGAAAATATTCGGCACAAATAGTCACTATAATAAGACAATGTGCCATGCACAATACCTGCTTCCCTACCTCCAAGGTCAAGGTCACACTTAGAGGTCAAAAATTAACATAGTCTGTTATAGGGTATATTTTGTGTCCGATCTAGAACTTCTTCATAGTTCAAAGGATTTTGAAATAACTTGGCACAAATAGTCACAATAATAAGACAATATGTCAAATACAACACCTGCACCCCTACCTCCAAGGTCAAGGTCACACTTGGAGGTCAAAGCTTAACAGAGTCTGTTATATGGTATATTTTGTGTCCCGTCCATAACTTCTTCATAGATCAAGGATTTTGAAAAAACTTGGCACTAATAGTCTCAATGATAAGATGATATGTCATGCACAACACCTGCACCCCTACCTCCAAGGTCAAGGTCAGACTTAGAGGTCAAAGCTTAACATGATAGATTTTTAAATTTTGTGTTTCATTTTATTTCTTTAATAAATTTATTGTTGCATTTGCAGATCTAGCGTTGATCATAATTTTGGACGGAAAGTCCTGAGATCTATACCTCAATCTTTTGAAATAGCACAATTTTATGCTTCATAGAAAACTTCCCCGAGGCGGGGGACGTTGGTAACTCTGTTACAATTAAATTCTTGTTCATTTTATTTCGTTTAGAAAGTTAACCGTATTTTACAGATTAATTAGTGATACTTCAATATTATGCCAGTGCATGGTAGGCATGGTAGGCACACAAAATATTTAGAACACAAAAGCACAAAGAAGAGAATCTAACTTTCTAAATTTCCGGAAAGAAATGAACAAGCGAATACATTGTAGCTAAAATGGCAAAACCGGCTTGATTGAAAAATAACAGAAAGCAGATCTTACACATCCACTAAATAGCATTGGCTTATGCAGTGTTAAATCATCTTTACTTAATTAAAGTCTTGAAATCATTGATCCCGGAAACACTGAGAGGAAGTGATAGAAGTGCTAGGCAACGCCTGCTGTTTAAAAAGAGAATAATGAAAACATACAGTTGAATCTCGCCAAGTCATTCCTATTTAATCAGTTCACGTGAGACTATGAAAAATGCAATTGTCCCTCCGCTCCTCCCTTGCAGAACATAAATATTGTTCCTGTGTGTGACTTTTTCTATTGCTTGGATATTTTGTTATCGTGTTATCTATGTTTCTTCCATTTCTTAGCAATTATACATTAACCCCCAGCCACCCTCTCCTTTCCCCAATGTGTAAATGTGTGAATGTGTATCCGATATAAAGGTATGCTCACATGACTCGCCTTAAGTGGGAAGTCAATAGATTAGTACTAGTAATCTAATGTATCAAAGGCTAATGATATACCCGCAACTATAAAACGCATTTACATCATCATTTACAATTTCATTTTACATTTAAAATATTGGAAAAATAGAAAACACATTTAGTAACATATTGCATCAAATTCACAATTCATATTAGTTTGTTATAACAGAAAGTTAAGTCTTATAATGACAAGCAAAGCAGGACAATACAATATAGTGTCACACACTTTGCAAGAATACAGTAACAATACTTACGGCAATGTTCTTCGTCGTCACCAAGGGGACACTGTTTAATGCCATCGCATTTCTGTTTAGACGGAATACACATGAAATAAAGAATGGTTCGGTTCTTTGGGTCAGCTTTACACATGTAGTTGGTTCCATTTTGACATGTGCCTGAAATGTGCATAGTGTAGAATGTTATTTCCATTACCATGCAGTAAGTGTAATGTTCATGAAATGATGCTGTTATTAGATACGAGACACAACAAGTACCACTTTCATCCATTTCTGTATAAAATGATTCAACATACATGTAATTTTAAATAAGAAACGTTTCATCGCGCTTTTCACTTACTGATAGTTTTATCATGGAACTCTTTGTATGCTTTAAGTACCAAAGGGTCCACCAAATGCTGTCCCGTATTCTGGTGATTGGTCGTTTGTGTATGCGAATCATCTGGTTGTCGCGTATTTGGTCGGCGGTGATTCCGTCTGCCTCTTTGACGTGATCTACGTTGATTGTATAAGTTTGCTCGATGCCGTTTTTGTGAGCTATTCCTCCGAGACTTTACATTTCTGTCACGTATATTTCTTTGTCTGCTGTTATTTTGCGATTTAAGAGATTTCGAGGAATTAGATCCCCACGAAATGGACTCTGATTCTAATATATTAGCTGACGCATTGTCTGTCAATATAGCGGTATCATTGTCAAAACCATGCACCAAATCGCTGTCCAGACCAGTGGCATCACTATCAATTTTACTACTGTTTTCTAAGTTGTCTGGTAAAAGCGATTGTTCATATATCGTTTGAGCATGGTCTCTCAAATTATCGTTCATCATCGAATCACTTATATTGTCATATTCAGGCGCATAGTCTGGTCTTTGAATATAGAATGGCCTGCCTCTAGAAGTATTGTTCCTGTTGGGCACATTGGTATTTCTGTCATTGTGATATGAAGTTACGAATGAAAGTGTTACAATGCATAAAAACAATAATATTTCCAAATATACACTAGAATACTTAAACTTTCTTGACATATTTCGTTTCGTTTTAATTGGACTTTTACTATATCATGTAGATCAAGACTAAGTTAAATCAAACAATATAGAAATTTAGCGATTTGCATTTAATTGAAAAGAGTAATGTATTACAATTTTCCAAGTATCCATCATTATTATGTCTATGTAACTTTTTAACGA